TAGGATTTTCTGCTGAAGAACTCCAACTAATTCCAATTGAGTGGAATCCACCAGTTCGTGTGTCTCGAAGCTTGAATCTTGCCAGAATTAAGCTTTGAATTCTACCAAACCCAATCCCATTCGACTGCGTGAATTTCACGCCATTTCACTCACGTGTAGTAGAACCAAAAGCAATCATTTTTGCAAACATGAACAGGACTTACACTGGGTTCATAGCTGTAGTCATTATAAATCTGCAAAGCCTCCAATACAGGCGAATCATTCAGCTTGATGATTGCTTTAAGGCTTGCTGTACCTCGTGGGGACTTAGGAAAGATCTCTCTCGCTCAAGAACAGACAAATATGTAAATAGAGAGAAGGCCTTTTCACTCACCTAGGCATTAGACGCCTATGAGATCCCCAAGACGTGCTGCAATGAAAAGAGTTACCTGAGATGGAACAGGCCAATTCGAGCACGGGAGCAATTAGAATTTGCGTTCACTCCAATATTATGTGATTACTGATTTTAATAAACGACATGTTATTTTACAGCAATACAATTTTTGAAACCTGTGATAGTTTCATGACAATGTAATTGTAATTATAAGTATATAATTATTTTATTGAATACATTATCCTAAATGCAATTGAGGGATTGAATGGAATATGGGATTGGGAAAATGTGTGGAATATCTTACGTGTTTGATAGTCATTTATACTTAACCAAACAGACAATTCTCTCCGTTTCAGGAAATAATGTATCACATTGGTCAAACTGAAATGTCAGGACTGTAGAATCGATATTTATTCATTCTTGAAACCCATGAGTGGCTAGAAATTGTAGAAAATATAAGTATTTATTTTATATCACTTACTTTGATTTGATTTATACTTCCGCATTTGATGTCTTGCAAGACCTATTAACTTCATATCCAACGACATCAGACTGCCAAAGAAATGAGAAGTGGAGTAGACATTTTGGAGGTTTAAAAAAGACAGAGGCATTTACTGTGACACATATCGAAATTGAAATATTAATTAGTGGCGTACATACCTATCGTCACAGAAGAGATAGTATTCTTCTCATTGAACCATCGTTCCTCACCCTCCATCCACTACATGTTGCTAATGCATTAAATTGGCCTGTGTAGGCATTTGGAATTAAATCAGTTGAATTGCCAAAATAGCGTATTTAGAAATGTAAATTTGTTTACTTCGTCTATTTATTTCCCTGCTAGAAGAGGTGCGTTCAACTTTTTTCAAGTAAATAGATTCTAACAATCATACAATTTGTGCTAAGTGTGGAACCATTTTAGGTGCAAAATACTTTTAAACATTGAGGTTGTATTTGAATGTATATTTCCATTTAGGATCTACAAATTCAAAAAGTGGAATGGAAGAGTAGTCTAAACTTCAAATTCCGAAATAAATTCTGCAATTGAAAGTTGGGAAGGAGCACCTAATAAGAACGAAAGTTATTTCTGAATGAATCGGTTGATAGGATTTGAGTGGCTTGTTTCACGGAAATTATAAAGACACAAGTATTTATTACTTTGTCCCATTCGTTTGGACAATGGTTTGGATGAAAAAAAGTTAATTTAATTTTTAATTTAATTACCTCATTTCTTTATTGTTGATTTTTCACTTTTGTGAGTAAGTGAAAGCGAGTATATGACGTGTTTCACCATCGTTCACTTCTACTCAAAGCACCAACTGAAATTTTTATCCAAATGCCAATTCATTGGCTACCAAGCCCTTTTGGTTGTTGGTAGTAATTCAATAAAAAGGAGGAATTTGCACAAAGAGCGAAGTGTTTGGTGTACAAACCTAAGATGAGCTTAGCCCAGTTAAAGAAATTCTCGAAACCTCACAAGTTCGCTAAATGCTCCTCCGCTTACTTAACTGTAATTCGTTTTTAAACTGCAAAATACGAATATTTTATAAAGACGATTCAAGGATCTTTGATGAGATCTTATCATTTTGAATTTCGTGGAGTTCTTATTTGTAGAAATGAGGTTCAATTCTGTTCACGATGGTGTATAACCTGTGAAACATTTCATTACGTTTTCCTCACTAGTTTACTGTAATCGGTACTTTATGAGAAATTAACTCAAACACAGCTGCACAGAAGAGGGTAACTATTATACTTCTTTAAATATACGAATCGAGCTGAGACGCTTTAAAGCAAAAAACAACTAGAGCCAGACGAATGTCTACAACAAATCCAGGAAATATTTGAAAAATATTGAATTCAGCTGCTCAAGATTCTCCTGCTTTCAATAAAAATTATTCATAAGAATAAAATGGACATAGTTATTTGGATAAATTTTAACTTTATAAGTGTCATCTATTCCATCATAAACGAAAATGGAGGCCACTAACCAAACTCAAACTTACTGATCAATTCCACTCGATTGGAATGAACTCGAGTTCTTCAGCAGAAAATCTAAGATGTCACTCCTCCCCCCTCCCATAAGAAACAATCACCTTCACCAAAATGTCCCCCTGCCACTCCCCACCCAATATTTTTACACCGGTTAGTTTTCACATTGTAAGTAATGGAATGTAAGAAGACATCATGATTGAAGCAATCAAATAAACGCTTATTACAATTAACGGGAGTGTATAGCAACAAATAGTGAAAGACCATTAAGAGCATGGACGGTAGGGAATGGACAGTGAAGAAGAGCACGATGGTTTTTCAAAGACAAGTCAATTCGATATGGAAATGGAGAATTGATTGTGGTGGTGAGACATTTTTCGGTGGAGTGAGAGAGGGAGAGAGAGAGTGAAAAAAAGAAATGTTGTCGTGTTTATAGTTCAGAAGTTGAGCACAATTTGAATCTACATATGAATTGTCTCTTTTCAAGATGTTGGGAGTGGCATTCGTTGACACCAAGCTGATTGAATGAGAAATATCCACAAATGTAGCAGCACTTGATGATCCCAAGAACGATTTCACAAAAATCTCCTTACAACTGAGACAAGTGGCATTCAAAAAGATGGTCATTTCATTGGAGCGTAATACAAATTAGTTTTCACACTTGACACCATTAAAAAATTGAACTCCAATTCAAGGTGATGATTGCGAAAAGTATTTGTGTTCCAACGCCTCTTTAGCAGTCACACGATCGTGGTGGTCAAATTGGAGGAGATGTTGGAGTAAATGCAGAGCATGAGGAGTGGCGAGTGCTGCATTCTCCTCGGTTACAAACTCCAACAATGGAACCCCCTCCTCAGCAACCACCACATCAGAGAGGAAGTGAGATATGGGAGGGTGGTACTTATCCACGAAATGCGTCAATCGAGATCGACCCAATAAAATGACGATTTTCTTGAGCAGTTCCTCTTCATTTTCTGCAGCAAATAAGCTTTGCTTGAAGATGAGCTTGGCAAACACACAACCGAGTGACCAGAGATCGAGAGAAAAGTCGTATTTCTAGATGAGGGGGTTGGGGGGGGGGGGGGGGGGGGAGGAGGGAATAGGCAAAAACAAGAAGATTAGATTAAATTCATTGCATTTCATCACCAAAGCAACAATTTCCACTTCTGCAATCAATGCAATCAGCTAACCCACCATCAAGTCATGTCTTAACTAATGCTGAGCAATATACATCCAGATAATATTAGTGGATGTTGTGGTAGACCGAAATAACGCGGTTGATTGTTGGGGGTCGGTCGGTGATATCCAAACTCGAAAATGGCAATATCCTAATACTGGAAATATCTCCAGTGGTCATCACCTACATATGGGAGCATTTAATTTTCTAGGCTTGAGTTCTCCATGGAGGAGGGTTTTTCCATCGGTTGCATACTCACCTCACTATCTCAAAGTGCCCTCCTTACACACACCTAAAATTATCCTGAACCCCTTACATTAGCTTCTCATTTTATTCAGTGGATGTTCCAGTGAAGCACGTAATGCCAACCTTTGTTAACTTGTCCTGTTGGGGGTTGGGGGTGGGTGGATGGATGAAGGGAGGGAGGGAGGTAGGGAAGGGTTGGGAACACAAAGGGATTCATGTAACTGGAAGCTAAACTACTTTTCCCACTTCCTACAAAATCTCCATTCTGCATTCCTTCTATTCTGTGAGAGTGCTCACAATCACATCACTGCTCACCTTATATCCAAGAAGCACTTCAGGTGGCCTGTAATTCAACGTGCAAACTGACAAGGAGTAATGCCTGTGAGGATGGTAGGTTGTTGCTAGTCCAAAGTCAGTCAATCGCAATCTCCTTCTCTCCACATCCACGAGAATGTTCGTGGGTTTGATATCTCGGTGGATGATGCCATGACTGTGGCATGAGTCGAGAGCAATCAAGAGTTCTCGCATGTAGAATGTAATCTCTTGAGGGTCAGTGCTTTTGGCCACTTTGTGAAACCCACGTGGATCAACGTACTCCAACACTAAGGCCGGACCCTCAGTCTAAAAGTCAAGCATACAAAATGCCAAATCGAAGTGGTTTTGTGAGGTTTGAAAGAGATGCACGAAGCGAATACCCAGCTACGTCTGCCAAAATACACGAAAATACACATAACCAAAATTGCTCAGACTCTTTTTGTGGTGCAAATGATATTCTATCACGAAGTGGTCTAATTTAATGCTCACAGTCTCATAAGTGGGAGGAAAGAAGGAGGAATGTGAAATAGGATGAAATTGACAAGTGAAAAGCCGATCTTTGTATCATCGAATTGTACATCATGCCATTGCTGAACCTGCTCTCAACTCAACTCGCCATTCCTATAGACTTATCCTATGCCTGCTAACCTAATAAACTACTCACTTGACCCAAAACAGAGGCCATTTGAAAGCAATAACCCAGCAATATCCCAATATTGTCAGTATTTAGGAAGGAAAAAGTGGAATGACTGCAAGACTATGTTGTTTCTCAAAGTTAATACAGTTCCATCCAACATGCACGTCTGGTCTATCAACCAATGTTTCCTTAAAAAGGGAGACACCTGACTACAATTCAATTGTAGGCTATTATTACAAAATGGTGCATCTGACTTCTGGATCTTCATGTAGCATGATGACCCGAAGAAATGAAATGAAATGAAATGAAATGGAGAATTGAGAACTTACAAGAGATTTGCGAGGCATTCCCATGAAGCGAACAATATTTGGTAATCCTTGGAGATGTAGGAGGACTTTGATCTCATTCTCAATCAGCTCGCGGTCGCTACCTTTCTTGAACACTTTGATCGCCACCTTCCGTTTGTCTGACCCACACTCACTTTCGTAAACACAACCAGAACCTCCTCTCCCAACCATTCTACCAAGTTTATACTGATGCTTGCAAAAATAACTTCGTTTGTCAAGGGAAACATGGCGGTAGCTATCCTCAACATCTCCACGCAACTTGCCACGGTGCGACATTATCAATTTATGAGTTCATAAGTTGTGCCGATTTATCAGAGTTGATTTAAACCAATATGCACACGCACAAAAACAATGCATATTACTTTGATAAATAAGGAGTTAAATATAATGTTACCGTTTTCAATAATTTAAACTTCATTTTCTTCAAAATAAAATATCATATTGAGCCGATTATTTTTAATTCTTTTTCAAAACGCTTATATATCAAACCAGACGATGAGGAGGGACTTCTTTAGGAAATCGTCTGGTCATTGGGTCAATCTGAGTTGAAGCATTTCGGTGATAAGTACCAACCTCCCTTATCTCACTCCCTCCACGATGTGGCAATGGCCGAGGAGGGCGTTTCATTGTTGGAGTTTGTAACCGAGGAGAATGCAGCACTCGCCACTCCTCACTCTCCTCATTTTCTTCGACATTTCCTCCACCACCATAGTCGGTGGTGAAGTGTCAAAATAAGCGGCTATGTGGAAGAGTAGGCGAGTGAGAGTGGTGTGGTAGCATTGACATTCAGATAGTTCGAACATTTACTCATCAACCTCTGAAATCGGCTTTGGTAATTCTCTCACCAGAGCCTCACGAGGTGGCTCGTTTCTACGACGTAGAGCCGCAAATCCTTAAGGTGATCTGCGAGGAAGAGCATAGTTTGTGGTATATGTTAAAGATGTGAGATAGGGAGAGGTGGATGAGTAAGTTGAAATTACCACCAACCTTAGAATCGGCTCTACCAGAGCGAATGGAGTGGTCTTGTACCAACCGCCATTTACACAGTCATTAAGGAAGCCGACACGTTGGTCGGTGTTGAACCAAGGGAGTGATTAAAACCGAAAGACGAAACCGAAATAGTAGCAGCAGAAGTAGTAGTAGACTAGAAGGTGGGAATGTG